ATGGCAGCAACACACGTAGTTAAATTAACAAATATACACTACAAATGACAATACACATATTAAATATAACAACCTACATTACAAATAACAACCCATATTACAAAAACACATTACAAAAATACATATTTTAAATATACTAATATACACTACTGTCTGAACCTTCCTATTTTATAAACGGATTTCTTTGATTATGAACAAACTATTTAACTTACCTGTATGTTTGAAATCAACTCCGGTTAAATAAAATCCATTGCACAATTAAATATCCCAACGAATAAAAAAATTCTCTCTTGAAAAATTGAACTCCCACAATCTTTTGACATCGGGCAATACCAAAATAGAACCTAATTACGTCACTCTTAGGGAGATATCATTTCGTATAAAGGGGTGACAGCATGCTACATCGAACTGATTTACGGTACATTTACGACAATTCATGGTATAAGCCTCAGCTCGGTATTTAGTTTGGGTGTTCGGCCCGTATCTCTTTATTTTATTACCATCTTTTTACATTCTAGTAAAATCCCTGCAAAGTTTATACATTTTCTTTTGAAATAACATAATTTTGTTTTAATTATTCGATTAGTCGAACGGGAGAATTTTCTTTTGAACGACATTCGTTGAACAGGCTTTAAATTGCCTTGAAAGAATGATATTAAATTAACGATGCAGTCAGAAACTTTGGTCGTGAGCTTCATGTTGTTTGTTAAATTATAATATAAAAAAGAGATGGGAAAGGTTGAGTTTAAATACGACCTTTTTTTACGAGTTTCATTGTGAATAAAATTTGGTAGACTGGACATCAGTGGTTTCAATATAAATCTTCTATGTATTGCCTTTAGTTAATATTTTTCGTCGCCCAAACTCAAACCATCAGAATGATCGTGGTTTGTTTTCATTGCAACATGTGGTTGTCAAACTCTCCGTCAAAATTAAACAACCCCACAACAGCTTCATTGGTTTCGCCCAACACGTGACGAAAGCCATGTTTTCTTCCACTTAGTAGAAATATAAGTAAACACGGTCAAATTTTTCAAGAGAGAACTTTCTTTATTTGTTAGGTATTTAATTGTGCAATGGATTTTATTTAACCGGAGTTGATTTCAAACACACAGGTAAGTTTATAATAACCAAAGTTAAATAGTTTGTTCATAATCGAAGAAATCCGTTCATAAAATAGAAAGGTTCAGACAGTAATAATAACAAAACACAGAGTAATGTTCAACTTACATTATCATTTTTGTCTCTCACAATTTTTTGACCTTGTAAAACCTGAAATAAATGTGAGAAATATGATGTGGATAATTATCTGTTGTTCTATATTTCTAATAGCAAGTGCAGGAAAACCACACTACAAACAAAACAAAACCCAAAACAAACCTGCGGATAAGACAAACTACACAAGCATTGCAAGAAAAATAAAACAAATATAAAATCAAGTGAATGGATCCAGGGGGCCAGCCGTAATTGTCACGATCGGTGTGTTTCTAGTGCATATAATACGATGAAGGCTACGGCCATTTCAGTGCTTTCAAATTTTGATAAAAAAGAGCGGCTATGCATGATCAAAAAGGGGAAGCCCTGGTTGGGTACATGTAACAAATCAGTCTTGAGAGAATAAGTTCATCAAGATAGTTAAATGAATTTCTTTGATTCTGACTATATGTGACCCCTCATGGCATACTGAGTCACAATGAGGAAATTTTCCCATTCTCCGACTCATTACCTTCAATTTGATGTATAGTTTGTTTGAATCGGGCAAAAATTGACTGAGTTGTGACTGCTTAAAGCCATCCAACTCACCAAAGTAAGTTTTGAGAAAAATCAAGTTAAAGATTTGATATGTTTCAAAACAAAATCCCATAGCAACCAAGCCCTTTATTTGCTGTTTTGTCGTTGAATATTGTTTTCTAGAGGTTTTCAGGGGTGCTGAAGACGAAAATTGTAGTAAAAATTTGATCCGACAATTTCCGCCATCTTTTTTTTCAAAATGGACGCCAAAATGACAGATTTTCGAGTTTTCATAAGTTATGTGTTTATTAATGTCACTGAATGGGTTTTGGGGGGGTGCTACATCAAAAAATTGCAGTATAAGAGTAAATCCTATAATACCCGCCATTTTGTTTTTTATAATGGCGACCAAAATGATAATCGTAGTAGTAAAATTAATCTGACAATATCAACCATTTTGTTTTAACAAAATTGCGACCAAAATGACAATTCTGTTGTTTTTTATCACCGTATATATTTGTAATCGGCTGGTGCAATGTCATTTTATATGTTTTATTAGGCACAAAGGTTGTAGCATCAGCGATCGACTGGACTGTATCCTCCATCTTGTTTTTTTCAAAATGGCCACCAAAATGGCAATTATTGGAGTTCTTATACTTGGTACTCGTGTAATATATCATTTTAGAGGTTTTCGGGGGCGCTGAATACGAAAAACATGGTTTTGGGTCGATGCAACGAATATTTATCATTTTACATATTCGATGATTTTATGGTCACCCATCAGTTATGGTCACACCATGCAGGGTAGGGTATACCAATGAAATGACGGTATTCAACACCTTATGCTGTCAAGCATAAGAAAAGAGAACATTTTTCAAAAGACAACAGTATGCTAAAAACTCTCATAAATTTAATAAAAGATTATAATAATAATTAAAAGAGAAAGTACTAATGATCAAAGATCCCGTATTAATATGGTTTGACTTGTTTACAGCTTAATTAATTGGGTGCTGATTGATCTACTGTTTTGACTGTATTAATATGGTTTGACTTGTTTACAGCTTAATTAATTGGGTGCTGATTGATCTACTGTTTTGACTGCGAGTCTAATTAAAAGAGATGGTACTAGGCCTTATGATCAAAGATACGGTATTAACATTGTTTGACTATACACCTTAATTGAAACTAGTTTCATTGTATATACTATGGAGTTTTCGTATGGCACGGTTACGATGCCAGTGTATAGATAGCTGTAAACAAACGCTATTTACAGTGGATATAATTGCATTACGAGAATTTAATTTATTAATTCATCGGGCATGGGCGACTGTTTAACATTCGAGAATGGAAAAGGGCGAGCTCTCAGTTGCAAATGAATTGAATGCACTGACATCTGCAGTTTTTAGAAAAGGCAAGTTAAAGGTGTCGGTATGTTCCAAAACAATATCACACGGCAACCATGCCATTAAAACTTTCGTTATTTTGTTGTTTAATATTAATATTTTCTTCTTTAGGTTTTCAAGGGTGCTGAAGACGAAAACCGTTGTAAATGCGCTCTTTTCATAGCAAAACATCCACAACAAATGCAGCATATTCACATTTCCTATGATAGCGTTATAATTTAGAACAGTGTATACATTAGTAGTCTAAGTTTGTATATTATAACTTAATCAGTTAATCTCATCAATTATTTAGCACCTTGGTGCCAGTGGTCAGAAGATTAAGGTTGTTGATTGGGTAATCAAGTTTAGTAGCCTATCTTAATCATCAAAGAAGCCGCCACAGCTGCACGCCTGAATTAAGATTTTGCGTGTACAATAAGTCTATTGTTATTTTAAGCCTCAGGTACCGTAACGGTATCAAAATATGAGTTCATAATAGAATAGAAATTTCAATTTCATTGGCATGAAATGCTTACGTTCGTTTTGGAAGCGGTGTAATTAAAACAATGGCAGATTATTTTTCCCACCCGATAATCGCCGCGTTTCGACTCATTAGTCGTTCTCATTTTCCTGACCCATTGTGATAATAAAATTTTAAACAATAATAATATCCAATATACATTCTTAACTTTGCATGCCGTATGAAAGACAGTAAACGGAATTCACCTATCAATAAAATTCTATTCGGAAAGAAAATTATTGGCTATTTTGTTTATTTCCTTTTAAGGACTATAAATTATTTTCTAACAGACCAAACGAAACCTTAAATCATCGACGCTTTGATCAGTTATTCGGAGTAAATAATGAATTGTCGGTGGCCTTATCATTGTTAATTATCAATCAACTAATCATTAATCCGTGAGAAGTGATTACGGATTAGTATTACTCAATGACACGAACGGCTTGTTGATTGATTTATAATGTTTTGATTAACACTCAACAGCTATCTATATAGGACCAGATTCAGAATTAAGTTGTTGGTATCCGAGGATCTTTTTATTTTGTGTTTTTAACAATTTAATGAAATCAACCTGTCCATAATATCATATTCATTGTATTGGACGTTAAATCTTTAATAAACAACAACAAAAGTTGTTTTCTGCCACTTCTCAGAGTGAATCGCATGTAGACACCCCATAACATTGCCCAAATCTAATTTCTATCGTCTGCTTGAGCCTTGATGCGGCCACGGAACCACAATGCTTTGCACGCGTTGTCTGGGCCAATCAGCAAACGAATTGTGTTGGAAGCATAGCAACAAGCGGAGTGTGTTTACATTTTTAGGGGTTTTAAAACCCTTTTGTATTCCTTCAAAATGATTTCATCGGCAATACTTTGGTCATATTTATAAACTAGAGATTCTCCGCTTTACAACGATGCCAAGCATTTTGCAAGAGGATTGACAGGTCGCCCCGCTGTGAGCAGAGAAAAATATCTAATTCCACTGAGAATATTCAGAAAAATACAGATTTAAGAATACGGTACTCTTACAAAACGTCCAAATAAAGGCGTTTTAAAATGTTTTATTGCTATTTTGATCTTTTGAGTCGATAGATAGTATATTTATTGACTCATTTTTGTTAAAATCTCAATTTCGATCAAAATCAATATTTTCGCTTATTTTGTCTCTTGTGCAAAATTAATTTTCACGCATTCCGACTCATATTGATGCGGCGAGTCACATATTATGATGTTTTTTATCCAATGAGTAATATTGTATTACCTGGTTCAGAAGCTGAACTCTTGTTTTTAATTTGGCACCAGTACTATGTGCCACGGCAGATACAGCTCGGAAAAAAGGTTCAAATTCTGCATCTTTTTTTCCAGACCATTCAATACATAAAGCCTATGAAAATAAAAGGAATTTTTGAGGTACAGTAAAATATTCTGACAAAATAACAAATCAGAACACTCTTCTTTTCGAGTTGGGCAGAAAATAAATTGCTAGGGAACCTATGTTGACTTGAAAAACTACAATAGTGAGTTTATAATTTATTTAGATTTACCTGTAGTCTTTGTTCCTTCGACAGAAGTCTTTCATATTTTTTTTGAAGTAAAATCATTTCTGTTTTAAGATGTGAAGCTTGATCAGTAGTAACTACTGGATCATTAGAGAACACAGTACCTCTTCTACCAGAATTATTGGCTACATTTCCCATAAACTCCATTTGTCGTAATTCCTGTAATAATTTAAGATTGTTAATTCAAATGTTGCTAATTACTGAAAATATGGGACTGACAAGAATTGAATTTAACTGTTTTAATTCAACCTTTTAGCACATTATTCTGATATTTCTTAACAAATCCGAAGCAAGCTTCATATATTTCTGCTACTCTTCTCCACATTGATGAGACATAAATATATAAACTTACAGTCAGATGCAGGTTATAGAATTTCAAATATTTTAGATGTTGTGTAATGCCAGGTTTCCACTGTCGTGCGATGTGTTACGATAGGATATATTGTCCCTATTGAGTCCAGGATCTGCTACATGCAGATACTTTCGGATACGTTTTGTTACCGTCAACCTGCTTGCTACCTCTGACCTCAATACAGGATCACCACAATTACTCCATAATTAAAACCACAATTTCAATCGGAGCACGAATCGTGATAGTGGGAACCTAGCATTAATAATGTTATTTTGAATGCATTGTGTCAGTTACCATAACAGATAAATAAAAAATGGAAATATAAATTGGCAAAGCATGCTCAAAATTTACCAAAGGACTTAGTATTAATAAGTCTGAATGTAAAACAACGAAATCAAAAGAATTTGAATTTCGATAGTCTCCCATATTATGGCCAAATCAACAATCCTTGCATATTCACAACAAATTATGGACAGATAATGAACAAAAGTGATGACAATACAGGTCCGCATTAAATGTAGATGCATAAAAATATACATTGATATAATTCTCATGATCTTCCTTTTAACCTATAAAAATAATTAATCTATAGATTCTGCATATATGTAACTAAAAACATTTGTCTATTTACCTTAGTAGTAAGTTTTGCAAGTTTATTGTCCGTGTTAGTCTCATCTTGCACACCATACAACATAAAGGTTATACACCCAGACTCAAAGAAATCAAGATGTGACTGGGCCATTTTTGGTATAGTTATTACTCGAGAATGATTAAACTCTGGTGTCAGCGTTTCTTTAATTAGTTTGGTCTCTGTATATTCTTTCTCTTTATAAACTCGATATCTTACTTTGATACCCTTTGTATATCTAGCTTTATAAATATCTGCATTGCGTATTGTTACCTACAAATATATTATTAAAAGAAATGATAGATTTACAAAGGCAACAACCCATTTCCTGACCCATAGAGTCACATTGACAGGATCGCATTAAAAGTTTCTTAAATTATTTACAATTTAAAGGATGGTACAAATAGTTGTAACATGTTAAAATGATCTGAAGCTCAATAATGATTGCATTTGAAAACTGTTTCATAAGCCAATTATTTCATATGGTCAATGAAAAGTTTTCATTGTTATTAGTGCTGACCTACAACACAGCTTAAGATATATTAGAAAAAGATAGCTACACAAAGCTGCAATACACCCACACAGCAGCTTTGTCTCAAATGCATCTTATCCGAAAGTGCAAATTTGATGACTCAAGAAAGGAAAGATGCAGAATGCTTAACATGTATAGGTGTAACTGATCTAATTTTAGCTGCAAACTCAAGTTGCTAGATGATGCAATCATACCGGTATATGAATAATAATGCGCCACATGATGTTTTTTGGTGTGCAGAGGGAGACAGAGTTCCAGGTAGGAAACATGGCATGTGTGCCAGGCAGTCTCGCCCTTATTTTATCGATATTGCGTATAGTTCTCGGTGGTTAGCCATTCTGTTAGAAGAGATGATATTGTGTTAACGTAAACTGTAGTGTTACGGTAACTTTTAATATTCAAATCAGTGATGAGATTTCAAAATTTCCCCAGTCGGACATTTTTTACCGAGGCATAACTCTTATCGTTATTTAAGCAGGTGGGTTCAGACCACAATTAAAACTTACATGTCAACAAAAAATTCAAATCCCGTACGCAATAAAGAACAACAATTTAGAGTACTTTCTTTTCTTTTATTTCAGGTACATTCCATTTGATAATCTTTAATAAAATATACAACAATAACAACAACAATAACGACTACAGAAGACTATACAGATTACTGTTTAATTTTATGACTGGGAAGGCCCTCAAATAATCTCCTATTTTTGCTCAACTTCCAACGTTTCAAAATCACATTGGGGTCAAAGTACTCAATAGCCGGTCCTTGCAACGAAATTCTTATAAGCTCATCCAGTGTAGCAGTGTTGAGGAGGTTTCTTAGTTTTGTTTTAATTAAATTTTTGCCTTGAAAACCCCCTCTCACACTCTACACTGGATACCAGCAAAACACGTCCGATTTGCATTACCGAAACACAATTCGGAAATTGATCCGACAACCCAGAACAGATGCATTTCTCGAGAAGAGCCCCAATAATTTTTGTAGTCTTCCTCTTAAACATCGGCCATTCATGTTGGATGTCTTCTTGGATATCTTTTCCAAAGGGTTGTTGGATAACAGATATGTTACTGTATCTTGGTAAATCATCGGGCGCCAGGAAAATTGGACAGAGAAAACACGGAAAATGCTGAAAGTAGCTGGTTCTGGGGAAATCATGCTTCCATGTTTTCAACTATATCAGCTATTATCTCGGGAACCTGGGTCTCCGGTTTCAATCAAAAATAGCCCTAATTTCGGTCCATAGCTGGGCGAATCCACAAGGTAGGTTGATTTAAGGGTGAAAATAAATGAACTCACTAAAATGGTCATTCTTTCATACGACAGGTCGTATGATTGAAGTCCACGGCTCAGAATTCCAATACTCGTAAATAAGTCTTTATAGTCCATGTGACAGACAGATTTTCATTACCAGTTTGATGAATAAATTTAACCATGATTTTCAGTTAGCCTTAGGTCTAAAGTGTCCAAAATTGGTTGATGGACATCTGGGTCACTTTGCCAAATGTGGGTTTGACGGCCGCCATTTTTTTATTTGAAATAGTGCAAGCAAGGGAAACCTCCACAACTCCTCAACAGGTTCATCTATGGATATGTTATATGGCTCAAAATGTTCATAATACAATTCTAAATCTGCTGGTATATGATACATGTTGTTTAATCAATGCTTTCGGTTTCTAAATAAAAGATTAATCTGAAAACAGCAATATTTTCGGGGGGGGGGGGGGGTCCATGATGTCTGTTCATAAGTTTACTAAAAAAAATTTGTTCAGACCCATATAAGCCAAATTATCTATTTGGTCAACTCAAGTGATTTACTAGATATCAGAAACATTGATCATAAAAAATAATCTCTAATATGAGTGTCCCAAATCCAAGATGGCAGAAATTCAAAATGGCGGCCAAAAGTTGCTCAAATGGCCAATTTGTCAGATAATAGTTATTTCACAGTTTGATATTACATGTAATATCCAATTGAAAGTGATTACTGAACTTAAAATTAACCAAAACACAGAGTGTTTAAAAAAATCCAAGATGGTGAATATTCAGAATGGTGGCCAGAATTTCTGTAAAATGATCGATTTTCTGTTTGATGTAGCTTGTAATATGTCTTTTATAAGCAAATAACAGACTATTTATGGATAACAATTACAATAGTTTATTTCACTGCGACGTTTCAACAAGATTTCACAAGTTGTTATCATGTTTTTACTGTTATGGCCTATTGCTCGTGGTTCATTATACCGCTTAAATAATTGTTTGATCTTTTATTCTTGTGCTTATCTATACCAATTACAGTTTATACCTGTCTATGTGCATTTGTTTATCTAACGGGATGGGACAGTTGCCCATACTAGCGGATTTTGCATCCCATTGGAGGGTCCACACTGCTCTTGTATATATATATAATCATATTCTTTTCATTTTATTGTCCCCCGCCTTTCGAAGAAAGCAGGGGACTATTAAAATGGGTTCGTCTGTCCGTCCGTCACGCTTTTTGGAACACAATAACTCTCTTTCATTGAGCTAGAATGTTCAAACTTGGTCTAGGTGTTTATTAGGTCAATGCCTTGATGGAGTTCGAAGATGAGAATTTTTTGCTTAGGGTAAGCAGGGATAAGCAATTTGATTGGTTGATGCTTTGGGACACGATAGTACTTTAGTTCTAATTAAGTGAGAGTGATAAAACTTGGTGTATAGTTTCATTACATCAATACCTTCACTAAGTTTGATAATGAGCATTTTCTGCTCAGGGTAAGCAGAACGATAAGCAATTTGATTGGCCCAGACTTTAGTACACAATAACTCTCATTCTAATTGAGGTAGAATGTTCAAACTTGGTGTAGGCATTTATTAGGTGAATGCCTTGATGGAGTTCGATGATGAACATTGTCTGTTTAGGGTAAGCAGAGATAAGCTATCTGATTGGTTGATGCTTTGGGACACGATAACTTTGGTTATAATGAAGTGAGGGCGATATTAGCTTGACTGAGTTCGATCGTGAGAATTTTCTGCTTAGGCTAAAGAGCGATAAGCAATTTGATTGGTCAAGACTTTGGAACACAATAGCTCTGCTTTTAGTTAGTAGAATACTGAAACTTGATGTAAATGTTCATTAGGTGAATGTCTTGACTCAGTTCAGTAATTAACATTTAGGGCTAAAGCTAAGCAGAGCTAAGCAATTTCATTGATCGATGCTTATTCATAAATAGTGTATTATTTGATTATGCTTCAATTACTAAATGCCTGACCCATGACCCACCTACAATACCCAACTAGTCTTATGCGGGACACATTGTGATCAATGGCCAACTGAAAGCAGGGGCAGATTGGGCCATGCGATCGCCCTAAGGGCCAGTCGGACAAAAAATGAAAAAAATAATCTTGTCCAATTCGTCTATAAAACCGGCCATGGAGCGACGATGATCATGTTGTATGTGGCCGCGACGCCATCACTGGAGTCTGGAATGGGCTGGTATAATAGACTTTCTGGGCCGGGTGTGCTGGGCGTGGGCCGGAATTCGGAATCCTGCAATGGTGATTCCGAATTCCATCAC